GTTTATCACTTTACTATCACGGATGGAGTAACACTAATGCTTAAGGAAGGAAAGCTAAGGGTGTTCTGTATCACAGATCCTAGAAATCACTCACAGATCTGCCACATTTCTCAAATGTTAGACAGGTGAGACTTCATATAAGAGAGTTTGCAATGAAACCTCTGCTTCCGGGCTGGATGTGGCTCTGGGCAGCCTGGTCTGATGGTTAGCAACACAGCAGGGGGGTTGAAACTGGATGATCATAGTTGTTCTTTTCAACCCAGGCCATTCTATGATTCCATAATGATTTAAACAGAACTCGACTTTAAATGGAATTTTCACAGTTGTATAGAAATGAAAATCCACAGGACAGAACCCATTCCTTGGTAAGAATGTCAGTTGTGTGGACATGTCATATGGCTGGTGACAAAAGATGGAGTTGTCTGACACAGAACAAAACATGCACACAAAATAACAACACTGCAGTTACAGCAAAAAGATCTCTGTATTCTCTGTACCCATTCTAACATAATTAATCTGATTTCAAGAGGAAAAAATAGCATTTGTCTTGGAAAAAAATACTGTGCTACTGATTTTAGATTTACATGTTAATGTTCTATCACAAATATTTATGATTAGACAAAGAAAATTACTCAGCTGCTGTTGTGAACTGCATATTTCAGTATATCTATGAAAACGCAGATTGCTTCCCATTCTGGTCCCTCACCTACCTCCCACAATTTTAGGATAAATTATTTAAAACATCGCAGATTGTGAGTTTCAATTCCCATAGCAGAGGACTTATTCCCTCTTATTTTAAAAGAAGAATATCTGGCAAAATAACACAGCGGCTCTTGAGAAATGGTCAGCAAGAAGTCCGTGCAATGTAGATTCTTTTAACAGAAGTTTCTGTAGAAGCACAGGCACTGATGTGACAGACATCCCAAATATAACAAAGACATTTTCTGCACCATTTAAGAGTGCACTCTTCAGCTAGAACAGGAGTTGGTTTCATTGCATTTCAGAAAAAACAACCTTCCAAGAGGTCCTGAGATCCTTCGTACCCTTTGTCAGTAGATATTTCATCCAAATATCCACACTTACAAGTGGGACTCCAAATTAAAAAAGAGAACTAAAGGAAGAAAGAAAAGAAAGCATAAATGGGCTTAAAAAAACCAGCCTTTGCAAAATGTGCCTTTGGCTTTCTGCCTGTTTATTTTCTAGCCTTTTGGCTTACCAGCTTGTCTTCAAACCCAGGGATGTTAGATCCTTCTGTTCTTAAATGAAACCTGAAAGATGCAACCACATTGAATTAGAATGATAGAATCAAAGAATGGCCTGGGTTGAAAAGGACCACAATGATAATCCAGTTTCAAGCCCCCTGCTATGTGCAGGGTCACCAACCACCAAACCAGGCTGCCCAGAACCACATCCATCCAGAATTCAGGATCTTGGTCTTCGGGGAAAATAATGTAAGGATCTTTTGCCAGCAGCACCTGTCTGCAAGTCCTTGTACCCCATCTCTGGAAGCATTCAAGGCCAGGCTGGATGTGGCTCTGGGCAGCCTGGTCTGGTGGCTTGAAACTGGATGATCATTGTGGTCCTTTTCAACCCGGGCCATTCTATGATTCTATTATTTTTGCTCCAGTTACATTCAGACTTTTCTGTTAAAATCTAAATCAGGTATATTTCTACTGCAAATTATCTATTTTTGCATAATGTTTAATTTGTATTTTTCTTGCTGCATCAGAGATTATGAAGACCAGATCAGGGACAGTCTTCCTTTCTCATCTAATCATTTAAATAACATCACATGTTTTACACTTTCAAGGGCAAAGTGTTTCTCTTCAAAGCTAACAGCATGATGAGAAAACAAAAGCCGCTGGTAGCTCTCATTTAATGGGCAGAATGGCCAGAAATGACTGAAGAGCAAATAAACCTTCTGACCCTTTGGTAGGAAGCAGTAACCTCTGGTAGCAGAGGGAAACAGATGGGGATAATAACCCATCAGGTGCAGTGTCTGTCCCTAAGGCCAGCAGCATATGACATCCAGTGTCCATTTTATTGAGGCCTCCTGAAGGTGGGGATAGCAAACAGCCTGCCAACTGGGGATGGCCAAAAGCAGCTGGAAAGGGGTCATGTCCTATACCTATACAGCCACTTGCTAAGAAAGCTGGGCTTGAGTTTGCCAAGCCTGTGCTCAACAAGGTTTTTCTACCTGGGGCGTTCTGACTACTTCTAGCTTCTGTACCAGTTTCCAGATAGGTTTGAAATATCAAAGGAAAACTACTGATTGGGGAGAAATTGGTGAAAGCACAACAGAGAACACAGGGCACACAAATTCCCCACCATATACTTAGCTGAACTACACATTCAACTCCTCTGCAGTTGGTATTAAAGTGTCTGGGAGACACTTTCCCAGTGTCTGCCAATAATTTCCTGCATTCTAGTGTTTGATTTTGCCCTGCAAAACCCATCCAAGAATTTCTGCCACGTCTGTTGCCCCAAATGACTCAGCCTCCCATAGGAAAAGGAAGCAGATTAGGTAGTTTTAGGAAGGAAGGGAGCTGACCATACATAGAGCTAGGAACAGTTAACTGCATTACAGCTACAGGAAAAGCAGAAAATGTGGGGACTTGGGCGGAGAAATAGGAATATGCACAAGGAAAATACAAGCAATGATATGCATGGAAGAAAAAGTGGAAGAATATGTGGATTAACTCAAATGGAGAGAAAAGAAAACTGAGTACTGGAGAGAAAGGAAAATACGTACATCCCTGTACAGAGCAGACAGGAGCATGAGGAGAATCTGGTACGTGGAGGAGAGGAGAGAGAAGGCACAAGGAAGATCTGGAATAAGATATGAAGCCAGCAGTGCTACAGGGAAGAAGAAAACAATCACACAATCACAGAATCAGAGATCATCGAGTCCAACCCCCCTGCCAAAGCAGGTTCCCTACATCAGGTAATGAATTCAATTCGTTCAGTTTACAGAAATTAAGAGAGAATTTATAAAATTATCTTTAAAAGATATTCCAGGTGTGAACATGCATTTTTACAGATTATAAACTGAAGGGTTGCACCTGTACCTAGAAGGTCCAGATTCTCACCTATCAGTGGCAAGAACAAAAAAGAAAATTGCCATAGGATATCAAAAGCAGTTGTTTGGAATGACACTACCATCTGGTGGCCAAAGAAAACGCAGTGTTCTAAAAGGGTGGAGTCCAACAGACTGCTAAGGCTTTTTTGAAAGCAGGCTGTAGATACATAGGGATCTGTAAGTACTGGGGGAACAGCACCACAGATTACAGAAGTGAGAGGCTGTAGGAAAGTGACAACAGACAACACAGCTCATTGCAGCAATGACATCCATAGGAAACAGACTGAACACAGTGATTACTGATGTTGCACACAAAGCTATAGAAAACCAAGTGTCACTAATCCTGCACAGAACTTCTCACAGAAGCATGTCTGAAGCATGAGGAAAGAGGCATTTCAAAGCTGCAGGGGGATGCTTTGACACAGGCTGTGAAATTACAGGATTTTCAGATGCTGATATTGCTCAGTATTTGTAGCACAATTGCTTTTTAAGCATTCAGAATTAATTCATTCAATTACTACCTTTTAGAAGTGAGTCCTTGTCTCCTAAAGCTGCAGCTGCTGCTTACAAAACAATCACTTTATTATACTGACCCTCTATTCTAATATAGCATTGCTTCATTTCTTCCAAAATCTTGGATACCACTGATTTTTATTTTTTTTTTTTCTCTACTACTACTGTAGAGCACAGAAAGCCACCATTGCAAAAAGCAATTGCTTTTTCACAAAAGTGCTTCAGGACTTATCAAAGACTTATTGCAGTTGTTATGTCTCCTGCCTTGCCTCACATTTGTTGACATCTAATCTTGTAGAAACAATAAAAGCCAAACATTAACCACTCCATCACTTATTCCTTTCCCTTCTTTACATTATCACTGCTCAACTGTTGTGGAGATTTTTACCCCTATGTTGTAAAACATCCCCATTTCTCAAAGCCAAATGATCACCTTGGAAGGTGATCCTTCTAAATACTTTTCTATCCAAACCTCTTAAGATGAGATGTCTCAACAGTCCTACATTTCAGAAAGCAAGAGTTTGTCATGTGATACCTTGCACGAGAAATGATTCTATAGTTTGCAACTTTGGCCTTTATGGTAGACTGACCATAAAAGTAAGGGTTTGCTTTAGCTGCTTGGAAGCCACGTGTCTGTGTTCTGCTTTCCTGCAAGAATTATTACACTGTGTAGATCTCGGTCAAAAGTGATTCCTGTGAGGTGTGGTGAGAGTCCATCTTTGGTGCCACCTTGTGGTAAGAATACTGAATCATGAAAATACTTCACACCCACCTCTCTTTGGAGGTCATCATATGAGCTGGAAGGAACGCTCAAAGATCAACTGGTCCAACTTCCCTGCGATGAACAGCGACATCTACAGTTAGATCAGGGTGCTCAGAGCACGGTCCTGTCTGGCTATGAACGTCTCCAGGGAGGGGGCAAACAGTTCCAGAGCCTCACCAATCTTATCATAAAACCTTTCCCTTACATCCAATCTAGATCTCCCCTCTTTTAGTTTGAAACCATTTCCCCTTGTCCTATCACAACAGATCCTGTTAAAGAGTCTTCCTTCTTTCTTACAGCCCCCCCCTTCATATACTGAAAGGCTGCTATCAGGTCACCTCCCAGCCTCCTCTTCTCCTGGCTGCACAGCTCCACCTCTCTCACCCTGTCCTTGTAGGAGAGGCGTTCCATCCCTTGGATCATTTTTGTGGCCCTCCTCTGGATGCGCTCCAACAGCTCCATGTTTCTCCTGTACTGAAGACTCCAGATCTGGATGCAGTACTCCAGGTGAGGTGTCATCAGTGCAGAGCAGAGGGGCAGGATTACCTCCCTTGCCCTGCTGGCCATGCTTCTTTTGGTGCAGCCCAGCATATGGTTGGCTTTCTAGGCTGTGAGGACACAGTGCTGGCTCATGTCCAGCTGCCACCCACCAGCACTCCCAGGTCATTTCCAGCAGGGCTGTGCTCCATGCTTACATCCCCCAGCTTGTACTGATACTAGAGGTTGCCTTGACCTAGATGCAGACTTTGTACTTGGCTTTGTTGAACCTCATGAGGTTCTCCTGATCCCATTGCTCAGCCTGAGTCTCCCTGCATGGCATCCCATTCCCCAGACACGTCAACTGCACCACACAGCTTGGGGTCATCTGCAAACTTGTGGTCCATTTCAAGCACTTCTACACTTTCCACACTGCGGAAAGGTCCTTGTAATTTAAAGCAAACAGCATCTGACATTTGGGCATTCGATTCCCTTTGGCTTCCAGGAGATCAGACTAAAACCTTAAGAATACTTCTGTTAGGCACAAGAGCCCAGGAAAAGAAACTTCTGGGATTATTTTCTTCTCTTATAAGGATGTAAGGACTAAATCTGAAGCTGAAACAACAAAGTAAATAAGTAATTCACAGAAGCTCAACCAACACACCCTGCATAGAGCAGGAGCTGGCCTTGATGATCCCTATGGGTACTTTCCATCCTGGACACACTATGATTCCACGATTCTTCTCAGCCACAAGACACAGAAAAACATCCTAAAGGAGGAAATCTCAACTTCTCCAGGCCACCTGAGGTCCTTCGGGGCCTCCCTGATAAAAAGATCTTCTGCAGCATGAGGACAAAAGCTATTTTTAGCGTTATTTCCATTGAGGATTGCCGCTGTCGTCCTGGCACCCTATCAGGGCCGTTTTCCCCCTCAGGCAGCACGGAGGCGGCGGGTCCAACCCACACCTGCACCTCGCACTGCGCTGCCCTCAGGGAAAGATTTTTCAAAGCCTTCACCCGGGCTCAGCCCACAGCCACCCTCTCCTGCACCCCGTGGACGCCAACTCGCCGCTTTATTCCACTTTTACACGCTCCCGAGGGAGCTACGCCCGAAGTTGTGCAAGAGGGAGAGGTGGGCGTAGAGGCGCGTAAAACCCCAGCGCTGCCATCGCTGTCACCTCTGCGCCAAAGGGCGGGAAAGCGCCCCGTTCGCGCCCCCCCCACAAGCAGCGGAGCCGAATTTGCGCATGCGCAGCACCGCCGGGGGCCGCGGCCGCCCCGCTGTGAGGAGGGCGGGCGGTGGTGAGCGCTGGGTTGGGTGTTACTTGTCCTGCTGCGCGGTTATTCTCTGATTTATACACGCTTCCAAACCGGCTGCGAGAGGAATCGGTTCGTCTCTTCTTTTCTCGCGGGTGGCTTTCTCCTGTGGGGCTGTCTTCACCTCAGGGACGGCACCCTTCTTCCCCCGCAGACTGAAGGGAGAGACGTTCCTGAGGGGAGAGCGGTCCTCCTTCCCCCGCCGCTGTGGGACGGGGATCCCCGTGCCCGCTCCCCCCTCAGGCTGAGCCAAGCTGAGGGCAAAGACCTCTCAGCTGCAAGCAGGTGGGGAAAGAAGCCGCCTCCTACCTTGTAAGACCAATGTTGCTATTTTCCCTCCCTCTTTCTTCCTTTCTCCCCACAGGCAGTAAGGCTGGAGCGGAGCGAACTCCTCTTTCCAGTCACTCAGCGAGTGAGGACTGTGGCCATGGCTGCGGGCGGCATCTGGACGTCGCTGGGACTGATGGCAGCCGTCGTGGCGACCGTGGGCCTGTGCCGGAGTTTGGCTCATCGCCGCCTGCACAAACACCCACGCCTTTGCTCGTTCCTCCTGGAGCTGCTGAGCACCTTCCAGGTGTGCGCCTGCACCAACGAGCTCAGCCTGCTGGGCAACACGGAGCCCAGGCCGCACACCGCCCTCACCCTCACCTACGGCTTCACCGTCCTGCACGGCTTGACGCTGCCCGGCAGCACGTGCAACCCTTGTGGCACCCTGCAACCCCTGTGGGGTGGACGGACCTCAGTCAGGGCGAGGGGACTGATGATCAGTGCGCAGTTCGTCGCTGCAGTGTTGGCCAGGGTCTTTATGCACTTTATCTGGAGGTTGGAGATGGCAGAATCCCATCCGGGAGCGCTCACTCAGGGTTGTGGCAACCCCATGCAGACAACGGAGGTGCAGGCGTTCTGCATAGAGCTGCTGTTCTCTGTCGTTTTCCAGTTGACCATCCTGCAAGTGGAAAACATTAAGCCCAGCTACAGAGTCCATGCGGTTGCTCTCCTCATCACCATGCTGGTGTTTGCAGGTTAGTCCTTTTTTTGCTGTTATTGCAATCAGGTGCTTTAAAGGAGATTTAAATATCACAGGATCGAAGGGGTCGAAGATCATCTAGTCCAACTCTCCTATTAAAGCAGGAAATCAAGATGCAAAATTTGTTTTCTTCAGTTAGGAAAAAAGAAACATCATGGAAATGGATTTAGGAGTGCTGGTAGATGGCAACTGGACATGAGCCAGCACTGTGTCCTCACAGCCCAGAAAACCAGCTGTGTCCTGGGCTGCATCAGGCCAGAGGGTGAGGGGATGATCCTGCCCCTCTACTCTGTACTGATGATGCCTCACCTGGAGTACTGCATCCAGATGTGGAGTCCTCAGTACAGGAGAAACATGAAGCTGTTGGAGAGCACCCAGAAAAGGGCCACAAAAATGATCCAAGGGATGGAACACCTCTCCTACGAGGACAGGCTGAGAGAGCTGGGTCTGTGCAGTGTGGAGAAGAGGAGGCTGGGAGGTGACCTGATAGCAGCCTTTCAGTATATGAAAGGGGACTGTAAGAAAGAAGGGGACAGAGCAGGTCTGTGGTGATGAGGCAAGGGGAAATGATTTCAAACTAAAAGACGGGATATTTAGATTGGATATGAAGAAAAGGTTTTATTGTGATAAGAGTTGTGAAGCACTGGCCCAGGTTACCCAGAGAGGTGGTTTATACCCCCTTCTTGGAGACATTCAAGATCAGGCTGGACAGGGCTTTGAGCTGTACATGTTCCTCCTGATCATTGAGGGAAGTTGGACTAGATAACCTTTACTGATCCCTTCCAGCTCAAACTGTGATTCTATGAAATGGTCCTACAAATTCTGAGTTCATTTGGAGTTTATATTTAAAGTTTGGTTAGCTCCTGTGGCATGTGTTAAGAATGAAATGAGTTGTGCATGCAAAACATCTAATCCGCAAGCAGATCGTGCTCTGTGAAGCTCTTAACCCTTGTTAAAATATTTCAGTGAAGATTTGGTTTCATAACCTGACATTATACAGTCTGATGATTCTATGCGTACCACACTGCTCAGATTTTGAAGAGGCATTGCAGGATAGCAGCAGTCTGCATCAGGGAAAGATGCTGAGCATGCAGGCCTGCAGAAAAAAGGTTCTGCATTAAAATAATGCATAATTCATATTGGTGCAGTGGTTAACTGTTAGAAAATGTTGGAAGCAGGAATGGTTATTTGTAGAATGTGTGCACAGTTCAAAGTACTTGTGAAACTATTTGCAAAAAAAAACAAACAGTTTGTTGTTGCCTGTAGTATCACAGCACCTACAAATTTCATGTCCCTGCATTGCCCTTTGTGTCCCTGTCCTTACTTTTGCCTCTGCATCACCTCCCAGAGCTGGGATTGTCCCCTGCACTGCAGATCAGGGCAAGGAACTCCTATGGAGACAGTGGGATTCTTTGTGTTCTCCCCAGTGAGATGCCAGAACTGTGTCACTGGTCACTTGGGACTGCGTTACAGGGAGATTCTGGGAAGAAGATGCTGTGCTTTGGGGCATGGGGAGGTGAGACAGAGGTGGTTATGGAGCTTCTCATACTGGCTTTGGCTACAGCCTCCACGGAGGAAGTCATAGAATACAGAATCATTGGCTTGGAGAATAGCCCACCCAGTTTCACCCCTTGCCATGGGCTGGTTGCCCCCCACCAGCTCAGGCTGCCCAGGGCCCATCCAGTCTGGCATTTGGCACCTCCAGAGATGGGGCACCCACAGCTTCTGGGCATCATTGCCAGGGCCTCACTGCCCTCTGAGTAAAGAATTTCCACCTTACATCTAACCTAAATTTCCCCACTTTAAGCTAAAAGCCATTCCCCCTTGTCTTGTCATTATCAGACCGTGTAAAAAATCAGTCCACCTCCTGCTAATAAGCTCCCTTCTAGTACTGGAGGACAGCAATAAAGTCTCTGTAGCCTTTTCTTCTGCAGGCTGAACCCCTTCTGCTCTTTCAGTCTTTCTTCACAGGACAGGTGCTCCAGCCCTTTGAGCATCTTCATGGCCCTCTGTTGATACAGCTCAGGGGACTGATGGCTGTTAGGCTGCAGGCACACACTGCTGGCTCGTGTGCGTCCAGCAGGACCCCCAACTCACCTAGGAAATGAGCGATCTATGGGAGGAAATCACTGCCTCATCTACAGATGTCTGCAGTGTTACTGACTTCTTGGCCCAAAGGTTGAACTAATACAGTAAGATGAAAAGCACAGTCAAATTTTCAGATGTATTCACCGGAAAAAAAAGAAGCCTTACTCGTTATGCTTAGCTCAAGTTAGCTAATATCTGAAAGATTAAAACCCCGTGGAGAATTTCGTTAATTAGCAACTTGAACTACTTTCTGAAATTAATATTTGAATGTAGAAGCAAAGTGTAACTGTGTGTTAGCACATGAAGAACATTCCTGAAATGGTAGGTGAAAGTGTAGCCAAGGATTTTGCTACCTCTTCTCCAGGCAAAGAAAGCTGGATTCCTGATTCTTAACATTCCTTTGCTACTGAGCAAGTATTCTTGTAAAATAATACGTGCCACACAGCTTTGTCTTAGCTGGCTCATACAAAGACTTCATGCCCAGTGTTCTGGGCCAAGCTGGCTTCCTCTCTTGTTTCTTACAGGAGGCAGCTGATTATCCAGTCCATCTGCAGAGATTTATTTCTAGGAAATACCAGATCTGCTGTGCCCTGGATATTTTCCTTCCTGCTATTTTAAAATCTATATTGAAGGCTGCTGTAAAAAAAAAAGTTCTTGTTCGCTGCTCCATGCTTCCCAGGGTTTGTGTTCTTTGCTGTGTGCTCAGGTTCAAAGGGGGACTGATAGGTGACATCCTCCCCCTGCTGCGCTCTCCTGAACTGTGATTTGAAGCCTCTTGAAGCAATGGAGGGCATAAACCCCAGTGTTCCTACTGCTGAGGTATTGCAGGCAGCATGGGAACTCACTCGTGTGTATTTCTGTGATGAAGTGAGAGGCTTGCACTGTAGCAGACCTTTTCAGTGGAAGGTTAGCCAGGTACACATAGGGCTCCTGACAGGTTCTCAGACTATTCTTCCAGCCTTTTTCCCTCTGCTCACATACATGCACATAGATTCCCCTGGGCACACCCTGCTGTCCTGCACTTCAAAAGGCCACTGATAGCACACCAAGCAGTAGCAGCAGCGATAGCACCTGGGGGACATCCACAACCTGCATGGTGCACTTGGTGTCAGTGTGCAGCTCTGCGTGGCCCCAGCCACCATCTGTCCACCTCCTCTCTCCTGCATGATGTGCTAAGTGGGCCGTGCTTCATTACAGCTTGCAGGTGCTGCTTTTTTCCTTTTCCAGGTTAGAAATAGCATACAATTTCTGTATATTTCTGTGCCAAATATGGGGCTTCGTGCTTTGCATTGACAACTGTTGCCTCCACGGGATGATTATGTTCATCCCAGATCAATTCACCAGCTCTGCTAGGGAAGTATTTCCCCAGTTGGAAGAGCAGTGCTTTGAATGAATGAGCACCTTGTAAATGAGGCCTGCAGCAGGCCAGCCTCTGGTACCCATGCTTTGAAGGACAGATTCTTAACTTAGCTGGGCTGGATTGTTCTTAGGGAATCTATGCCTCTCCATTAACTGTGCATAAAGAAGTGGAATGCTTCTTTAAGAGGAACAACTCTTTCTTCTCACTCAGCACCAAAAGGTTAGGCAGCTGGCACTGATTTAGGCAACCTGGTCCCAACACCATTTTTCCTACAAAAACATCAGTTAGTTTAGAATATTGTATGAATGATGATCCTCCAAGATTTCAGTTGGAAAGATGCAGTGGTTTAGCTGGGACCTCTGATAGCTGAATCAAACTCAGAAAAAAACCTCCGTGCTCATGGTTTCTTTTTACACTGATTGTGCCCTGAGGACGTGTACACTGCAGTCAGGCATGAATCAGAAATGTTACAAAATGCATCTCGTATGTATTGTATCACATTTTCATGCATGATTTATCTTCTACTGTGTGTCTAAAAGCCACGTGGATAACTGCTGTCTAAAAAGGACTGCAAAAAGGAATATCTCTGGCTCTATGTCAGCTTTGATTTGGATGAAGTGTTAAAGTATAGCCATATTTTTATGGCTTATACCCATCTAAACTGATAAACGTGAAGGGCTCCAAAACATGAAAATGCCATTTTTTTTTTCCACAAGGGACTGAGTTAAATTGGTGGAAATAAGTGTTTGTCTGTCACTGGGTAGATGTGTAAGTTACTTAAGTATATCACGCAACTTAATCCAACAAATAACATCAGATTCTATAGTAAGTATTTTGAAAACTACCAACCCTCCCTTTAGATTTCTATTCTCAGTTCAAAATATTTGGATTGTTTTTTGTTATTTTTTACATTTTGTCTTGCACTGACTTAGTTTTCAACACAGTGCATATCAGATCAAAACTGATGTTGCAAATAGTAAAAAAAAACCCAAACCTTCCTAAGTAAGAGGAAGAGAAAATGATGCCTTTGAATATTAAAGAATGACTCAGAAGCTAAGGATGCAGGCCATACACAGATTGGTAAAGGACACAGAATCACAGAATGGCCTGGGTTGCAAAGGAGCTCAATGCTCATCCAGTTCCAACCCCCTGCTATGTGCAGGGTCACCAAACAGCAGACCAGGCTGCCCAGAGCCACATCCAGCCTGGCCTTGAATGCCTCCAGGGATGGGGCATCCACAGCCTCCTTGGGCAACCTGTTCCAGTGCCTCACCACCCTCTGGCTGAAAAACTTCCTCCTAATATCTAACTTCATATCTGGGTATTTACTTGGAGAAAATATTTCATTAGTGAAAGACAAAACTCCCCCTTTTTGAGTTCTGTTCTTAATTTACAGGCAGTATTACAATGAAGACAGAATGGTCTGAAATTGCTGAGGTGCATCTGCATCTTATATCCTGAGGTTCAAGTAACATGCATGACATTTTCAAGTGACAAACGTTCAAGTGATGTTTTTAATTCTGTATTTCTTTCTAAAACCTTTCTGAACTGTAATAATGGCCAACGAAATACTGGGGAGCGCATGGAGGGAGAAATACAGAAGGGAATAACAAAGATCTTCGTGAAACTTTCCTGACAAATGAGGATTACAGCAACACAGTGTTTGTATACAGAGCAATGTCAAAGCTCACACTGGTTAATTGGCCTAGCACAAACAAGAATAAGGTTAAAGAAACTAAATAGATACAATGATGTACATAGACACAATGACTACTGTGTAGGATTGATAAAACAGGTGTGGGGCAGTTAGTAAGTAAAATTGAGGCAACTTCATTTACATCTGAAGACAGAGGGAAGGAAAGATGCTTCACTTTCTGCATCAGTTAAACATGTACAGTAAAAAACTGCAGAAGAGTTCATCTGCTCAAGTGGTTTCTTCTAGTGTATTTTATTGCAGGGTATGCATTTCTTGTAGCATTGTGCACACGTGTTTCAGTATTTCATTTAGAATGAATATTAAGAAAGATTGTTTGACTTCATGTTGTTCCTGTTTTGTTTCAGGTGGAAATCTTACAGGAGCAATATTTAACCCAGCGTTGGCTTTTTCATTACATCCACATTGTTTCTATGACAGATTTCTTATTTATTCACTGGTATATTGGATAGCACCATGCTTAGGTAAGTTCATAATACTTCATGTATTTAAGAAAGTGTTACTTAGTATGTGATTGAAGAGAGTATTAAAAAGGAGAAGAGGCAATCTGAAAGTAATTCTTAGCCTAAAAAACTCAAGAGAGACAAACTCTTTAGCATTTTTCTAGTTTCTGTCTTACTTTGTATACAAGAATATGAGGATGATTAAATTAAAGATAAATCACATTAGGGCAATATGCTATCTCAATTATCATCATCAAATGTCAAATCTTTTTTATCTCCATCATGTCAAAGCTTTACATTTCTATGTTTTTCCCCCAGTCACTGTTAGAAACAATCTGTTCTTGGTTTAAGAATAAGGAATAGCCATGAGTAACTGAAGCTTTGCTAACTTACATTCCGATTCATCTGATGCAGATGAAAATGCTTCATGCTGTTGATTGTTTACAGTTTCTCCCTCCAAATCTTGAGCTTTCTGCTTAGAGAGTATATAAAGAGGCACTCAGCTAATCCCAAGTCCTTTTGTGACTGTTGATCCTATTAGAAGGGGCCGTTGTGGTACTGAAAATAAGGTGAGTAGTAAAACGTGGACAGAAAACATCGCAAAAGGCTTCAGTTGTAACAAATAACATGCACAAAGAAGGAAAAAAAAATATTTTGAGGTGACTTTCAAAAATGGAGAAAGAATATTTTAATGAAGTCTTAACTAAAATGGAGGGTTTTTAAAGTTTTTAAAATTACACATCTAAGCAGGGTAACTGCTCAACAGAGTAAGCTTGACAACAGCTGTTCTAGTTAATATAGCTGATGGAATGTCCTAGGCAAAGCTGGTGAACATCACCTGGTTCCTAGCAGAAGATGCACGAGCAGCAGCTTATCATCAGCAACATACAGAGAACACATACAGAAAATGTCAGATACTGTCTCTAGTTTATCAGGGAAATGAACTCCAGACCAAGTAGCTGTAAGGATGTGAATCCTGGGGACAGAGCACTTGTTGTGAAGTGTCACTACTGCAGTAGAAGAGTTTGGTGCAGATGTCAGGCCTGTGGATCATCTGAAGAGCACAGTAGTCTCTCAGCAATATCATATCATAGAATCATAGAATGGCCTGGGTTGAAAAGGACCACAATGATCATCTAGTTTCAATCCCCCTGCTATGTGAAGGGTCACCAACCACCAGACTAGGTATAAAACATGGATATTCATGGATACATAGACCTTATTTTACAAACCAAGAATGTTAAGTTGCCTGAGGTGGAAGTGTAGAGATCTTTTTCAAAACTGAATTAATACTTGAGTGCAAATCTATAACTCTAGTATGAAATGTTAGATGTGAGGCGTTTCACCTAACTTGAAATGACATTTTACTGGCACTTATTGAAAATAAGTAAATAATATAAATAATTCTTCCAGAACTGGGCCAAATAATGAGGTATCTAGGAAGGTACCTGTTATGAAAAGAAAATTCTTATTAAAAGGATTTCTAATACAAATTCTTAAAGATAATGATGAGGGAAGGAATATTTTATATGTAGTTGGCAAGGACTGCTTTCCTGCTTTCAGAGTCCACATGTCTGTGGATAATCCCAGACTTCCTAGACACCCACAGAGTCATTGTTACATGCTCATTTGAGGTCTCACTTTTCTCAGTATCAGCATCTTAATTTAATCATAGTTAAATTATTTTCTTGTTCAAGAAATTCTGTTAGGAGACTGTTGCTTAGGGGTTTTTGTGATGTGTCTCAGTAATCAGCATGTGCAGAAACACAGAATAGTGTGCCATGAAACTTTCAATTGCCTGTGCAAAGTGTAGTATGATCTCATCTATGAGCATAGCAAATACAGTGATGACCAGGAGAGACCATTCAGTATATAATGGATACCCAGAGCTACAAACAATCCAGTTCTGAACTGCCATTTTAAAACAATTTTCATAGAAAGTACCCTTGGAACAAGAGGAAGATCATCACCTTCACAAGAAGAGGAGGAAATTGAAGTTTTCTAGTAGGATAAGCAAATCAACTGGTGTCATAAGAGTCTTCAGTGAATATTATCTTAGAACTATTATATATATATTAAGAACTCATTTTTCAAAGCGTTTTCACCTGAAGTTTCAGTGATTCTTCAGTAGCATTAAAGCAGCTAACAGTTGTAGTGAATATAGATGTCAGCAAATATTTACAACTTGAATTGGTACCATGAATGTAAAAGTTCTGGTGGAACAAAGACAGTTGTTGTTTCACTGCCAGTGTAGTTCATGCCAGTTGTCCAGGCATGGTTGCACCATTAGTGATGATTGTGACTGACTTAATGCTTCTCTTTCAGTATCGGGGAGATGGCAGGAAGAGCTGGTAACAAGATATTGGGCATGAGAGCAATGAAATAAGGCTCTCTATGCTGCTAAATTTCTAGCACTATAAGAGAAATGGTCACTGATCCTCATTTGGATCGGTTTTACCTGAAAGATTACTGCTGTTCTTTAAAAGAAAATGATTTCTTCAACATCAGATTAGAAAATAAATGCCACAGAAGTCACTCTGGAGTAGATGTAAATGGAAGAGGTTAGCAAGGGTACAGGTAAGATTTTCACTTCTCTGCTGAGAGAAGAGGATATTTGAGCTTCTATCAGGTTCAAATGTGAAATTTAAGTAAGAAAACAAGAATTTCAAGTCCATTTGCAGTGACGCCGTTAGCACCTCAGGGACATCAGTGACTTGGTGGGGTAGCATGACAGCTGGAGCACGTTCATTGTATTCCAGAAATGTTTAGATGTTGTACTAAGGGGCATGGTTTAGTGGGGAAATATTGGTGGTAGGGGGACAGCTGGACAGAATGATCTTGGAGGTCTTTTCCAACCTTGGTAATTCTGTGATTTATGGGCAGGGAAAGGAAAGAGAGAGCGGTGCTCTATGCTAACAAGATCCTTGAGCATGGGAAAAGAACTCCAGTGCAATGCCAGGGATGTGCCTGTCTGAGAGTTGCTGCATCTAGATTGGAGGGGAAGTAATATTGGGATATCTTGGTGGAGGACTGGACAAGTATAGGTAGCAAAGAAGACTTTCAGCAAACGAGTAGCAGAAATCTTCTCCCTGATTCCTGTACTCCCAGGAGTTTTCAGCTATGGAGGCATCACCTGAGAGAACAAAACCCATGCATATGAGTGTGAGTGCAAGAAAAAATTTCTAAGCAGGAGGTGCTTAGAAAACTCATTTGAAGTCTTAATTCAAAAACACATGGGTCAATGAGTGATTTTGCTCACAAATTGGGAAGAGCTGGTGGTGAATGTGGCAGTATGGGCTGAAGTCCTTACAAGAGTTCAGGGTTCAGAAGACTGGAAAGGTAAACAGCAGAGTGGTTTGGACTTCAGAACTAAATTGTGCTTAGATAGGGAAATGCTAAGTAGAATTCCCTGGGAAGCTGCCACAAAGGGAGAAGTGTTCCATGAAAAGCTTTTTTTTTTTTTTTTTTTTTTTCTCCAAAAAGCTTACTGAGAGCTTAGTGTAGGAACAATCCATCACACAGCCTGAACATTTTGATGGAAAGCCTTTCCCTGTTGACAAGAAGACTCCCCATGAGCAAAGGAGAGCAGGTAAGGCATAGAAACAGGGATAAGCAGCAAAAGAAGCATACACAGCTTTGCACAGGCACTTTGGAACAGAATCAGAAAGGTCAAAGCTCAACTGAAATATGACTTCACTGGAACTAAGACAGCACAAATTTATCAAGGGCACAACTGTTTATTCTATCTGCAAGATACAATAACTACATGATTTGGAGAAGTGGGATATTGCTATCTCCTTCTATTCAAGTCTAGAACATGTCTGAGCTGAAATCCCCTAATTCAAAATAAATCCCACGGAAGACTATCAAAATAGTGAAGGGCCTGGAGTAGCTGGTCGCCAAGGGAATGCTGAGGGAACTGGTCTTATTTAGTCTGAAAAGATGAAATGAGGAGCTGATTAATAGCTGCCAACAGTCATTTGAAGAGTAGTCACAAAGATGACAGATTAACTCTTCTCAGTATTGGCAGGCAGTTGTGGCTTGGGAGGTTTGGACATTGAGAAAGCCTTCAGGAGAAGCATGCAGCAACATTAAAACAACCTTGGAGTTTTTCTGAACAAAGCCATGCTGACCCAACAACCTGCACTCAGTGGGAGGTTACCAGGCAGACTGCTTTCAGTAAGCATTTCTAAGAAAAATAAAATAAAAGCTCTCCTTCAGAATCATCTTTTCTGAATCAGAACATACAGATTTTGTCAAGAGAGATAGAAAATAGTCAGTCTACTTTTCTGTACTTAGGTGCCTTTTGATGAAGAACTTAAATTTTCACTTATACCAGCTTTCAGCTTCAGAATAATCCCTACATTGTGACCTTAAAAAACAAGCCAATCAACTCACCTTATCCTGTGTTCACATGTGGTGCCCATAGACTCAGTTTTAACCTGTCTGCTGAGATTGGGGTATATGTATATTTGTATATATCCTTATTGACCTGGAAAGGGGTCACATACACTTTGACTTCACTTGGTCAAACTGTTCCATCTTTGGTTTATTTTCCCAAGAAACACTGCGCTATCAGCTCCTAAGGATCACTGGTGTGGCTGATTGAAGCTTTCTTTGCAAACAAGTTTGTGTTTGCAGAAACTACTGACAATCTTTAGCCCTTTCAGTTGAGAATTCTGTTCAGCAGCAACCCTTATTTTATGTTGGATGCTCAGATACTTCAACATAATGCTTATTTTCAGCAGCAGTTGCAACTGTGAAGAACTACATCATTCTCGAAATACATTTAAATTAATGCTGGTGTTGTATTTTGTCTTTTCAGGTACAGTACTTGTGGCTTTTGTATGGAAATCCTTTCTTGGACACCAGAAGACACTAAAATCTGAATTATAGTAGGACTACATTGAAAGAAGTATTTCCAAACAAGTTAACATGCAGCCACTTCCAAATGAAATGAGGCTTTCAGAAAAAGCGTTTACATAGACTTCCATACCTCTTTTCACTTGTGTTTTCAGATTTCATGTATTGAAATTTCACTTACAGCTTTGTGTTCAAAACCTTCCTTTGTAACACTAGATCAGATCAGAGAATACCTACCAGCATTTCAGTTAAGCCATATGAATGCGAAAGACTGTTAGAACACTGAAACTTTGTCACTTTAGCCGTAAGTGCCATTTGCTGACCTGAATTACAGTGGCATATAAAACTTAAGTTTAGATAAATTCCAGACCTTTCGGGGTTTGATTTTATTGGATTTCTTCATGTAGACAGCAGCTGCAGAAACAAAACTGAAGATTTCCCTCTGTAGTGACCTCAGCAGTCCCTTTCAAGCTACGTACAAACCTCTGAGAGGAAAAAAGACTGATTTGTTTTGTGATCCCTAGAAGAACTGACACAGCTCTATTCTAGAGGTGACCTACAGCAAAAGTACAAACCTGTAGGACCAGCAATGTTTTAATAGTAAAGTGCAGGTAAGTAGTCCTTCTCTTCCTTTCAGGAAGGTTCTACCCCACTGTCTCACTGCAGTCTATTGAATGTTTACCTTGATTGGGAAGAGCAATAATAAAGCAGCAAGTTTTGTAGTCACACAGCTAAAAGTGCATTATAAGTAAAAAAAAAAAACAAACTTTATCCCAGATTGCACACACAGAAACAGATACATTGCGTAGGGATGAATCACATGGAATTTGATGCATCCTTGATGTTATGCAACCCTGACCAGATGTTCTTGAAATAAATGCATTTGCAATATAGTAAGGTAATAAAAGGACTAAAACCAGGAAAGCTGACTGCTGAACTGGCACAAACACATCCTTTGTAGCTGAAGAGCACCAGCAGTACCAGCCTTCAAGCTCTGTTCCAGTGTGAAGCTTCTTCTGGAGTTTCATTTTTGTAAGCAACACATCAAAACACATTTCAAATTTAAGATCAAGTAGTTTTGAGAGGCAGGATGGTCAACAAGTTGTACAAAGACTCCAGTTCTAGGCTCCTCTACTCTCTGTTTTAGGGATATTTTTTTTTCAGGCTTTGAATATGGTGAACAAAGGGGATCAGAAGGAAGCAGATGAGGTATATGCACTGCAATTGTGAATCAAGTCTTGAGCAACTACTGCTGTCAGGTACCTTTTTTCAAGAGTTTGAGAAGTAGTTTCATTTCATACTTCTTGCAATAACGTTTTTTCTTGATTTTCCAAGGTTCATTGAGATGACATTACAAAATTAAATCAACTATATGGACATTGACTTCTTATAACAGAGTCTTAATCCCAAACCCTCTACTCTTTCATTTCAGAATAATAGAAGGAAAAAATGCCTGCTAATACAGCAAAATGGAATAGAACTGTGCAGTTATCTTTCAGCAGCACTTTACCACTGGTAGGCTTACCAAAGGAAACTTCTCTTGGCAAGAAGCTGTACACAAGCAGCCCACCCCAGGCTGAACCTGCTGAGACTCCATCTTTCAGCCATTCTTATATTCATCCATTTCTTTACAACCACCACGAAGGGCTGCTAGAACAGAAGAACAAAACCAATGCACATAACCTTTAATTGAAAATCATGTACTGCTTCTAAAGCAGACATTAGTAGGCTCCTTCCTATCACTTTCTTGCTTTACTGTTTGTTTTTTTTTTTATTCTTTTTACCTACTTCAAGATGATCCATACTTTACATGTTGGTTTCTCTGCACTGGGTTTGCCTTTGCTGTTGTACTTAAGCCCAGTTTATAGCTTCATTTCTGAACGACGGGATGCCATTCAGAGGGACCTCAAGAGGCTGAAAAGGTGGGCCCGGGTGAACCTGATGAGGTACAACATGGCAAAGTGCAGAGTTTTGCACTTGGGCCGGAGGAATCCCAAGCATCCCTACAGACTGGAAGGAGCGGTCCTTGAGAGCAGCCCTGTGGAGAAGGACCTGCGGGTCTTGAAGGCAAATGGTATCCTGGGCTCCATCAAAAGAGGGGTGGCCAGCAGGGACAGGGAGGTGATTGTTCCCCTCTACTCTGCTCTTGTGAGGCCCCATCTGGAATACTGCGTCCAGGTCTGGAGCCCCCAGTACAGGAAGGACAGGGAGCTGTTGGAGAGGGTCCAGAGGAGGGCCACGAAGATGATCAGGGGACTGGAGTACCTCCCCTATGAGGACAGGCTGAAAGAGCTGGGCTTGTTCAGCCTGGAGAAAAGGCTGCGGGGTGACCTCATTGCAGCCTTTCAGTACCTAAAGGGAGCCTACAAAGAGGAGGGAAATCGACTCTTTGAAAGGGTGAGTGACAGCAGGACAAGGGGAAATGGTTTTAAGCTGAGGGAAGGGAGATTTAGGTTGGACATCAGGGGGAAATTCTTTACGGAGAGAGTGGTGAGGTACTGGAACAGCTGCCCAGGGAGGTTGTGGATGCCCCGTCCCTGGAGGTGTTCAAGGCCAGATTGGATGGGGCCCTGGGCAGCCTGGGCTAGCATTAGGTGGAATGGTTGGTGGCCCTGCATGCGGCAGGGGGGTTGGAGATTCATGATCCTTGAGGTCCCTTCCAACCCTGGCAATTCTGTGATTCTGTAATTCATCTGCATGTCTCATTTGAGCCCATAAGGCCCACAGGATAAAGGTCTCAGAAGTAAACTTCAAGAAGTATAAAAGTGAAGCAAGCAGGAAAGAGAAAGCACTGATACAGACATAGTAGAAGCCAAATTATATCAAATTAGAGTCCCTACTTCCACATCATTTTTGAAGGCCTGCAGCCAAAGTCCATAAAGCCAAAATGACAGATCTGTACATCTATTATTTTGGCATAGCATATAGTTTAAAACAAATTTTGCAACAACAAAACAAACAAAACAAATAAATCTAGGCAATTAACAAGTAGTTGCTCTCTTTATAGCCACTGGATTATTTTAAGTCACATATATAAGTCACGTATATCTACCCTTCTGTATATGAAGGTGCTAGTAAGGCAGTATGATTAGGAGAACCCAGGTAAGGCCTACATGAACCTTATGTTACCTTTTTACTTCAACCACAACAACTGTTGGACTTAATGATCTTTGAGGTCTTTTCCAACCTGTGTAATTCTGTTCTATGATTCAATACCAGAGCTAAGCTGATGCTGGTCTCTGTCTTAGTCAGCAGTTTTTCTTCTCTGAAAGTCAGTCAGCTGCTCAGCCTCATTGGTCCAGTGCACTTAGCTCATCATTGAGAGGCTCAGCAAAGAACAAAATATTAAGTGTTAACTGCACAGAACTTTCATTTCCCTCTCAGGTCAAACAGTAGAAAGTGGTAGTTGGTATTTCTGCTGCTTCTGTTGATCCCATGCACTGTTGTAACCCAAAGTACAGAGTATAGGTTGCATGTAACAGTGCTGATGACTTTAAAATTCTGCCAGTCCAGGCTGGCTCTACAGGATGGTGACTGTTTACTTTACCCTCAGCCAACATTTCTTATTTGGACTGTGCAGTCTGGAGAGCTGAACTGCTCACTGCCAGGAGTTCAAGGTATTCCTTCAGTGCTGGAGCATACTACAAAATATTAAAGTGTACAGAACGTTTGTTCCTTCACATTAAAAACAGGAGTAACTGCAGAAGAATCATACAGTGGCTTGGATTGAAAGGGACCTTGAGGATCAAACTCCAACCCCCCTGCCACAGGAAGGGCCACCAACCTCTCCATTTAATACTAGACTAGGCTGTTCAGGGCCCCATCCAACCTGGCCTTGAACACCTCTAGGGACAGGGCATCAACACCTCTCTGAGCAGCCTGTTCCAGCACCTCACCACTCTCATAGTAAAGAACTTCCCCCTGACATCCAACCTAAACCTTTCCTCAAAACCATTTCCCATCATCCTGAGCATGTTTATAAACAGAAATGTGCCAACATCCACATTATACCAGTCCACACACAGGCTGTGCAATGTAGAAATGTAAGAATATTCATGATTCCAAGAATTTGCTTACAGATTTACTGCATAATGTTTACTGTGCTCTGAATTTCAAAGCTGACTACAGAGTTTCATGAAGAATGTCTTGTTGCATAACACGCTAAATACTTGTTAGTCAGCAACGGTAAGAGTTCACTTTTTAATAATCTCAAATTGAAGTAATCAGCAAGTATTCATCAGAGTGGTTGTCACTGTCACATACCTTGAAACCAAACCCAACATAACAGGCAGGACAGGACCATCAGTGACACTCCAAGAGCACAGGACAGGGAAGGAAAACTCTCCATATACCAACTTCATTACATTGAAAAAAACCTTTCAAGTCAGTCAGCTTCAAATCAAAGTGGACAACTAACCAAACTTCCATTTGAGTATCAGGGAAAATAATAATAAAAAAAAACAATAAATTTGCTGCCATTGCCCCAGCAATGGCAAACATCACCAAGCAGAGAGAAGCGAAACGGCAGAAGCAGAACGAACATCTCAGCACTGTACAGACGTTTGGCCCTTATATTCTCACATGTGGGTAAATACTGGAAATGGCTTCACTGATTTTTTTAAATTATTCTTCTAGAGAGTGCTAACAAGTCAATGGATGACAATGTCAGAGTTGCCAGATGCTTGCTGGAGTAAAGGACTGAGAACGGCAATGCAGAGTTGACTGTGAGATACAAAAATCTTAAGTTTATTTAACAATGTTGTTAACATTTAATACAAAGACAAAACAGTTCTCATTTGAAGGATGAGAGATTTCATTCCATCTCCATTCTACTACCCAAATTTTGCTCCCAGAGAATTCAGAGGGACAGCAGTGAACCAATAAAACCAGTTACTTGAGGGGCATTACCTTAAGCTTTGCTTTTAATTCATAAGGCTGACCTTATTTCCTTCCAGTTTCACACAGTAACACTGCCATTCTATTCCGCTTACTCAAATGTACAAAAATATGGAAAATTCCAGGACAAACTACAATTCTGTTCTACTTACACTTCTTTCTCAAGTCCCAGAATTCCTACAAAGGCTTCTTCAAAATGACCCCTGGTTAGCCCATTCAAGTGTTAGATGGGAGAGAATTCATTTGTTTTGCTTTTTTTTTTTTTTTTTTAAATAACCCCATAGTGGTCACAAATGTCAAACCCTTTTTAAACATATATAAAAGCATTTATAGACCTCGATGTCTGAGCTTGAGTCATTAAAGATTAACTGCCAACAGTCACTGCAACGCCTTCAGTTTTTACAGCTTATTCTGGAAGTGCCACAAGAACAATCTGAAAGATACAAGACACCAAAGTTTACATAATTGGCATTAAAATAAGAGATTAGTAATTTTTACAGTAGAGCAGCAACTATCCATTGGTCACAGCCACAGAGGACAGCACATCACATCAAATGCATTAAGTTTTGGAATGGCTGGGCATCATCTTCGTCTTTGACAGCAGATCTAAACTCAGGTCAGCTCAGGACAGCGAGCACTTGGGGTCAGCTGCTGTGTGCCTGTGCCTGGGAAGACCCCTCCCAGCACACAGACACACCAGTTGGCTCGGAACAACAGCAGCAGCCTCGTGATGTGACAGACAAAACACCTCTTGTTACACAAACACTGCCCATGTCTCGCCTCAGCAAGTCTTCCAGGAGCTTCTGCAGGCAACTGCCACATCTCGTTTGGGTAACGAGCAGCGACGTGCACCAGGAGCATCCCAGAAGGACACTGCTCTCTAAAGGATCACCAGCAGGATGTTCTTGCCAATTGTTTCTGCAGTTCAGGAAGCTACAAAAACCGAGCTGCTCCACAGATTACTGAGAGTAACAGCAGACTCTTTGCCCTTGTTTTC